ACCGCGGTGCGAGGCCAAACACCACCTCGGCGGTGAGGAAAGGGTTTTAGTGGGTAAACGGCTTAGCTGGAGTCCCACACACACCAGAGCGACAGACCACCAGCTCTGGGAGTGCGTAAAAGAGCATTTCCCAAACATCACCGAAAAAAAAAAATACTTACTAATTAACTTACTAAAGTATTAATACAGGATCCTAACACAGCAACAAATAAGTTAAAAAATAAAATAAAAACTTGGATTGATTCTGCTACAGTTGAAAATAAAAATGATCATAAAAAACAAAAGAGAACAGATTATGTTATAAAATCATGTCGTGCTAAAGAATGTTTGTATCACTTATTGTAAAAAGATTGTACAATTGAAGCACTAAATAAGCAATACAAACAATGTAGCAAAATACTAGACAATGTATAATCTTGGATGCTAAGATTAAATATGGCAAAAAACAAATTGAAAACAATTTGAACAGTCCCATAAAATTCTGGGGAATTATTAATGAAACAATTGATTGATATGAATCAATGTAATTGATATTACCAATTACATTGATACGAACTCTTAGTATAATATGTCAATGGTTTGGATATTCAGGAAATTGGGCGTCTTTGATTACCTTTAGGAGGTTCAACTTTGGTTGCAATTGCAACTGTTCGGGTATTTTCTTAAACTCCTTTACCAGAATACCAGAAAAAATGACGATCCCCATCATCTTTACATTTTTGCATTCAAAATTTTTGTTTAAGTTTCCAATTAACTCTCTACCATGGTGGTAATAATTTTTTTTCGTATGTTTTTTCAGTGTCCATGAGAAGTTAGTAGCGGCACTGCCGTCGTTTTCAACAACTTTGTTTGGATTATTGTTTGCTTCATCAGTTTTAACAGTAACATAAGAGGTTGTAGCATTGACAGGCATTGTATCTTTTAAAAATAGGAGGTTATTATAAAAGACATATGGATTTTTCTTTTGCACCGCAGACCCGTTGTCCTTTGCTTTATGGGCTTTCACAAAAACCATTACGTATATTT